GCCCGTCCAGCTGCTTGCAGTCGCGCACCACCTCCGCCGTCTCGCGCCGGAGGCCGCGGCGCGGCGGCGGGCTTGGCGTCGCCGGGAGGAGCTTGGCGGCCATTGCTCGGCCGTGTCCACTCCCATGGCAAAGAGCTTGGAGCCGCAGAGAGGAAGCAGCGAGCTGGAAATGGATAAGCTTCAGCCCAGCGTCGCAATTGGGCCGCTCTGCTCACGTGGGCCGAGACGAGCCCGTAGTGGGCCCAACAAAAGAATACACATTCAGGCCCAACGGCGACGCAAACGAAGCTAGAGAGAGAAGGGAAAGCTGTAGAGAGAGAGAGGGAGCAGCAGCAGCGATGGAGATGGAGGCGCGCGGCGACCTGCGATCGATCCTGCCGCAGCTGCCGGTGGTGCTGCGCGGCGGGGCGCTGTTCTGGCCGGCGGCGGCGCAGGAGCAGCTGAGGGCGCTGTCCCTCGGCCCCGACGTGAGCCGGGTCACATCCGGCGACGTGCTCGCCGACGCGCTCAGCGACCTCCGCCAGGCCCTCGCCCTCCGGGCGCTCCCCGCGCGCGCCGCCGAGGGCTACGCGCTCTTCTTCGACGACCTCCTCTCGCGGGCGCACGCGCGGGACTGGTTCTCCGACGTGCTCCCCCGCCTCGCGCGCCTCCTCCTCCGCCTCCCCGCGCTGCTCGAGGCCCACTACGCCGGCGCCCGGGCCGCGACCGGGCTCCGCCTCCTGGGGCCCCAGGACGCGGGCTTCGTGCTCCTCGGCCAGGAGCTCGCCGCCGCGCTGCTCGCCTGCGCGCTCTTCTGCCTGTTCCCCACCGCCGGCCGCGGCGAGGCCCGCCTCCCGGCCATCAATTTCGACGCCTTGTTCTCGTATGCCATCAGTTTCGGCTCATTTGGGCATCCTAGGGTTTAATTAAACCTTGTAGTGTCAAATTGACTAGCTGTTCTTACTGATCTCCTATGCCTGTATGGTTTGGCAGGGCACTGACTAACAATGCGAGGCAAAGCCAGGAGCACAAAGTGAGGTGCATTGCTCACTATTTCGAGAGGGTGACCGCGTCGATGCCTGCCGGTTTTGTGTCGTTTGAGCGCAAGGTTCTTCCGCGCGGCTCCCTCTCCGGTGGTGTTACCTACCCTGACAATGATGCCTGGATGAAATCTAGCGTGCCCCTCTGTCCATTCCGGGTAAGTGGCTTCATATTCTCAGTCTTAGTCCTTCTGCAGGGCTCCTCTGAAATTATATAGTGCGCAAGTTAGTTGGGTTCACCCATGTTGGTTAAATCAAAGCTGAACTTGTAGCCAGCATTGTTTCAGACCATATTCCTCTTTACATGATGTGACATAGCTTGCATGAAATTGATTAATTGGTATCTATTAACAACCAGGTAGCTGAGATTTAGCTGCTCAAGCAATATCAAGACGACAATCCGGTCTTGTAACAACACAGAACAGCTACTTGTCTTCATATTTCACATTTCCAGTCATATTTTGGCCTATAATCATTGCCCTAGGCATCCTTGGAAACGACATTTTCCCATCTCAGACATGTGGGGTCATTTTGGGATTTGGGAACTCGAAACAGGCAACTGGTGTATGGTACATGAAGTTCAACTTGCTCATTGTACATGCCTGTGGTTTTTTTTTTCAAGTGTCAAGAAAATATCACAGCTAAACCATAAGGGTGAAGGTGTATTCAATTAGATGCGAGTAGTTTCCTGTAATGAGATCTTAGGAGTACTGAGCAAATTTGCCATGACTATTTTATTGAATTTTGTTATTTTCTGTCATTCTATGAAGGTCTATTTAGAATAACCGTTTGTTTGCAAATTAGCATCACCAGGCAGGCATGCTTTGGACACAGTGGAAAAGTAAATGTGTTGGGTCTTTTTTTATGTTATCTGTTTGTTCTCCATCATGTGTCCTCAACATTTCTATGCGGGATGAGAAATTATCTATATCCTGGTATGGCATGATAATGGAAATAAGGCTAGTAGGAATAGATAACTCTGTGACACTGGAGTACATATTAGGAACAGCTAGGGCTATCTTTTATCATAATGTTATCAAAATGCCTCATGGTCTTTACAATTATTATGGAGTCTGCTGATTGTTTGTTTTCTTTTCATTAGTAGGTAATTTCCTCGGGTTTGATCGAAGATGAGGAAGAAGAAGCCCTCGAGGTTGACTTTGCTAATAAATATCTGGGAGGAGGTGCACTTTCCAGGGGCTGTGTGCAGGTCTCTTTTTCCTGATTAGTAGATTACCTCGTCAATGTTCCATGGATTGCATTAATTATGAGGCGTTATTTGTTTAGCACTAGTTTTAGAATATATTCCTACATTCGTTTTGTATGAATTGTACGTCACTTATCCATTCCATGGATTGCATTAATTATGAGGCGTTATTTGTTTAGCACTAGTTTTAGAATATATTCCTACATTCGTTTTGTATGAATTGTACGTCACTTATCCATCATCTTCTATGCTACATGGAAAATTATTGTTGTGCCACAGTCACTATCTTAAGACCAGTTTTGACTTCATGGGTGTCTGATGCGAATTGAAGTACCTTCATGCTTTGTCATCATTCTGCTGGATAGCACATCTTGATGTTGTGCAAGTTGATTAGTTAAGATAATTTACAATGATGCAAGGTTTTTATGGTTCTCTTATAGATGCTATATTTCTTCTATGGTACAGGAAGAGATCCGTTTCATGATAAACCCAGAACTGATTGTAGGCATGCTCTTCATGGCCTCAATGGAAGATAATGAGGCTATAGAAATTGTCGGTGCGGAAAGGTTCTCACAGTATATGGGGTTAGTTTAAATCTTTCCACCCTTCGCTTGATTTAGTTCATAAATGAAAAGAAAAAGTCCAGCAATACTAATTAGCTATGGCATCTCCACAATACTGGATGATTTTTACATTGTAAATGGACACTTCATTTGCTTCTTACAGGTATGGCTCCTCATTCCGCTTTGTCGGTGATTATTTAGATACGAAGCCCCTTGATGCAATGGGTCGACGAAAAACTAGGATTGTAGCAATTGATGCCTTGGACTGTCCAACTAAGTTACAGTATGAAACTAGTGGTCTTTTAAGGTATGTCTTGTTCTTGTTTCACTTCAATGTATGACAGTATTTCATAATTTATTGGTAGCTTGTTGTGGTCGCTATCCTTCGTAAACGAAATATAGTTGTATAGTTGTATTTGTTTTCCTAATTCGTTTTCATCGGTACTACATCTCTGCAGGGAAGTGAACAAAGCATTTGTTGGTTTTTTGGATCAATCAAAGCATCAGTTCGATGTGAAGCCTTTGCAGGTGTTTACCTAACGAGTCATGAAATTGCTGTTAATTGAATCCTTCTACGAATTACCTAATTTCGAACACAAGTGCCAAACATCGTCTAACATCTCCATCTCTGCTAAGATTCAGAAAATGACTTGATAGCATGTATTTGCCCCTATCATTTATTTTAGTAATAAACTGTCGGAATGAACTTCTGCTGCATGTGTATATAATTTTAAATGAGGTCTAACATGATAAGTAGTGACCTAAAATACATGCACGCCATTAGAAGGTGGTGTCTATATGTTCTGAACTTTTGATCATTTTTTTGACTTTTAACACATGGTTCCAGGATTCTAATTCCAAGGATAATCATCCAAGTGTCAACTCAGTTGACTGTATAGGAGTTTCAACCGGAAACTGGGGTTGTGGGGCTTTTGGTGGAAACCCTGAAATTAAGAGCATGATTCAGTGGCTTGCTGCATCACAGGTACAGGAAAAATGTTATTACACAATGGAATTTTCAGGAATAGGAGTTCATCTGTTTGTTCCCAGTTAAATATCTATACCTTTTTTTTAAAGAAGGTTAAATGTCTATACCGGTAAATTCAACTATGAACATTGTTGGAGTGATCAAATATACTTGGCTGTTCTTATTTTGCAGGCGCACCGACTTTTTGTTAATTACTATACTTTTGAGGATGCGTCACTTAGAAGACTAGAAGAGGTACCACAATACTATGAAAGCCTTTTCACATATTTTTTTTTTGCGTATGCAGTTATGCACGGAAGTAGAACGAATAAAATTTAGCTGGGTTTCGAAGTTGTAGTAGTTTTGCCTCTCTAGTCATGTTCATGGTTCCACGGCCACTCACTGAATTGTGTTGGGAATAGGCAAATATAGCAATCCTACATCAAATTCTGTTAAATTTTGGTTTCCAGTGTGAAATCAACCAATGATTGAAGTTGCTGTGATTTCTAAGATGAGCCTAATAAACCGGAAAGGAGGAGGGAGTGGCTTATTTGCACACTAAAGCCTAAAACTAGATATGATGGATGGTTCTAGATGGAGGCAGGGACCCTCCTTTTTCTTTTCTCCACCGAATCGAGTCGTCCGTGATCCCATGCTGTCAGATTCCCCTTTTATGTTCTCTTCACCTTATAATTTTTTGCATCATTCTGCTGTTACAGGTGATCCAGTGGGTATTACGCCACGGATGGACTGTCGGCGAGTTGTGGCACATGATTGTTGAGTATTCATCCCAGAGGCTCAAGAGAGAAACTTTTGACGGCTTTTTGACTTGGTTACTTCCAGAAGACAACGTCAATAATGATGCGGATTACATGTGCGAGTAGCCCAGTTTCGTGAGGTTAGCTTCTGTGTGATGTGTGCCCTACTTGTGTGAACAGCAACTTTGCAAAACCATTACTCGGATATCTGTTTCCCTAACCACAAGCTAGCAATGTTTGAGAGCAATTCATAAATTTCATGACTGAGCCACATGATCCACGATCGATGAAGGATATTTACTAAGAGAAATAAGCACACGCGTATTGTTTTAAAATGTGCCATTAACATGACAACCATACATTGACCTTACAAATAATTATAATAAAAAGTGTTGTGTGCATCGATATTTTTTGCATGTCATGCCATGCCTCTCCACTGTAACCTTTTAAGGGAAAAAAACCCTTAAAATTAATCATTCAAGGAAACTATAGATTATCAGAGGGCTTGTCTGTTGTGGACGTTTCGGCTCCAGCTGCCGTCTTCTTCCACCTTGCGATCTTCTCCAGCCCCTGAAAGTAGTTAAATTGCCACCTGGAGTTAGTTACCTGACAAATCTACTGGACATGTTTTGAACTAACTGACTGAAACTAACATACTGTTTTCTACAGCCTGTAACTGTTACTACGTATGCTACTCCCTCCGTCCCAAAACTCTTGCCTTAGATTTGTCTAAATACCTTGCGTGGCTCGACTGCAACATCGTTGTCTTCGATCGACTCGATGACGAAGCCCAGGGGGTTGAGCACCTCCTCGTAGCTGCATACGTGACAAGAGACGGTGAAATGAAGAATTGGCATTTCTGTCTCTCTCAACACTGATGAATTATTTTCGTAAGTGAAAATTAGGAGGGATGTGATGCTTACTCGAGCACTGTGGTGTTGTACGGTGGCCCCGAGTCCTGGTCTTGGGGCTGAAATGCATCCATGCATGATCATTAAGTGTCTGATGATTAGTAGCACTGGTATATATATATATATATATATATATATATATATATATATATATATATATATATATATATATATATGCTCTTAGTGGTAGGATTAGTGTATGATTTACCAGGTACATGAGGGTGATGAGCTCTCCGTCCGGCCGCAGCAGCTCCTCCATCCTCGCCGCCCACGCCGGCCTCACCGACGGGTCAAGGGCGCAGAAGAATCTGACAAATATTATTAATTCAACAGGAGAAAATGAACCAAGAAATCATTAGTTAGTGTCACTAAAAGTAATCGTATAATTTTTCATTAGCAGTAGAAGAGAGTGTGTACGTGTAGTCCAAGATGAGATGGAAGGGCTCCGGCGCCGCCCAGGTGAAGAAGTCGGCGCTGACGAAGGCCACGTCCGACGCGGACGACCGCTGCCTGGCCCTCTGGATGACGGCGTCGCAGACGTCGAGGCCCACCACGGAGCGCCCGCCGCCGGACAGGGCCACCGCGTCGTACCCCTGCAGCTCCAGAGCGCGTGCATGAGATTGCCGGTGCAAACCAATCTCATTTACTAGTACATCTCTCAACATGAGTAAGTAGAGCGTGTACTACTAGTACGTACCCCGCCGCATCCCGGGACGAGCACGGTGGCGCCGCCGGCGGGGAGGGTGCCGGACTGCACCAGCTTGACGACGGCCGGCGTGGGCTGGCCCAGGTCCCACGGCGTCACGCCCTGCTCCCAGCACCGCCTCCACCCCTCTGCAACACAACTATTTCAGTCGAATAATAGCAGATATACAGACAGTGGATTGCTCCTTGCATGCCGAGTAAGCGTACGTGCCAGCAGCAGCACCTGAGGACTGGGGCCCGTCGACGAGCTGCCGGAGCCGGACGATGGCCGGGTTGGAGCCGTCGAGGACCTGCCCCACTCCGGCGGCCCCGACCCCGAATCCCCCGCCGTTCGCGTCCGCCACGGCCGTCGACGCCATTCTACCTTAACTGAAACTGGCTACAGTAATAATAACAGATGCACAGACAGAGCCGACTGTTTTTTCGCCTTCAAAACAACTCCAGACATACCCCGTATAAATACTGCCGCTCCACCCCCTCAACCCCGTGCGTCACTGCATACGTGCTTCGGCCTCTCCTTTTACAAATCTCTGCCAAAAATCCCGACAATTTGCCATGAATTCGCTCCGAATAGAATAACGAAGCTTATAAACGGATAAAAAGGAGTGAAAGAGAGCGACCGACGCGTGACCGCAGGCCTCTTCTTCCTCTTCAGAATGAAAACCTCAGACGTAGTGCTATGCATTTATCATCACAAATGGTAAAAGGAACTGCAGCCAAAATCATGACCCATGAATTTTGTATGTCCATGAAACAATGACCACTACAGAGTGAGACATGCCAAGTTCGTCCGTGCCGGGGAAGGGCAGACCTGACCAGTCACATTCCAAATTCACCACCATCACCAGCAACAACAAAAAAGCCTCCAAACGTCGACTATTTACACGAGAAAACGGTGATTATTTCCAGAAATATGCCAAACGGCCTATTCATCATCATCACATAGTAAGAAGTCGAATTTCATGGCCCGGAACCATGGTTTTCACTTTCAGTGAGATTTCGGTAAAATTCACTGAATTTCAGTAATTTCAATAGACACTGAAATATTACGTTTCGGCCAAAATATTTCAGCAATTTCAGTATAGCACAACAATTCCAATATTTTTCAAAATATTTTTAATTTTTTTCAATTTTTTAATTGAATTCAAGTGAATATTTCGGTCATTTGGCTGAAATGGAAACTGGAATCACTGAAATTCACTGGATTGCAGTGATTTCGGTTGGTGCTACAATTTTGACTGACTGACGAGACCATAGATATATTTTCGTTTCATTTTTTTTGAGCATCAGTACAGACACAAGCGCTCATATACACGCGTATACACTCACCCCTATGAACGCATACACGCACACCCTACCCCTATGAGCACCTCCGAGAGACTAAGCCGGCATATCATCTTGAAATTTACGAAGTCACCGTAGGCGCCTCGTTGTCGACGGGAACGTCTCCTCCCACTGAAAGCGCATCGCCGGAAATCCTGAAATAAATCCAGAAATAATGCGAGCACCAGGATTTGAACCCTGGTGGGTTGGGAATACCAGGGTCCACCTAACCAACTACTACATCTCGTACTACATGTTTGAACTACGAACAATACACGCATTATCACGTCGGCTCAACATAACACCAAGGCTCAATCTAAAAAAAATACCAGGCTCATTGTTCACTCAGAAAACACGAAGGCCCATTATTCTCTTCCATTATTTTGGGCCACACCAAGAGATACCCAGCCCACTGCTTGCGGCCCACCGCGCGTCGGATGGCTCCCGGCTGGACAGCGCGGGGAGTAAAACAGAGGCTAGTTTGTTTAGTCCCACATCGGCCAGCCGAGGAGAGATACACCGGTTTATAAGCGTGAGCGCGGCAGCAGACTCGTCCCTTCGGGGACATCCGATAAAATTGGAACGATACAGAGAAGATTTTTTTAACATTTCGCGCGCGGGTCCCCGGAGGCCTTCTTTTCTAGCCCCTCACGTGCAGTTTTCCATGTTTTCATTTTCTGCCAGAAGTGTTTGAGATTTCGCGCGCAGGTCCCTGGAGCCTTCTTTTCTAGCCCCTCACGTGCAGTTTTCCACTGCGCTTCTTATAGAAAGGTCCTTGGTGTTTTCATTCTCGGCCAGAAGTGTCCTCACGACTGCTATTTCAAACCTGAAGCCACGACCCTTTTGTTCTTTGGTATTACTCCTACAAAATACATCCTCTGTGTAATAACTTTTGAACCTTTAGTTTTCTAGTCTACTCAATTTTATTTCTGTTTTTTATATACAAATCTAATATTAATTCAGTTTCATCGTTAGTCTTTTGTTACCATGCCCTCACATATAAATATGATTGTGTTCCTTAATTTATTTTTGAGGGATTGTCTCTCAATCGCAACTATGCTTCGCCCATAATGCAGAAAACATGTTTCATTAGTTTATTTGATTACGCAACCACCTAGCGAGCTCATCCAACAACCGTGAAAGAGATGAGCATGAAAAATGCTGCACATTAATGGTTGTTGTTTGCTGAGTAACACGGTCAACGAGGAATGCCACCGTGGCGGTCAATGATGAATGCCAGTGCCAAAGAAGACGGTGTGGGAAAGGAAGGCTGGTGGGTTGATGTCGATCCGGCCTGTCCTGTCCGCAGTGAAGATGAAGAAGCCGAAAGTTAGGCTTTCTCCTGACGCAACCCGTGCCTTGCGCGCTAATTGATCTGGTGGGGTCAAACTATGTGAGAACTTGGGCACGTAACTCTAAAAATTTTACCATTTCCTTGAAAGGTCATACCAACAACAACAAGAACATACACTACTGGGAGTTATACGCCAAGTGCCACGAACACTCGGCAAAGGGCCCAAACCCGCCGGTAAACCCTTTGCCGAGTGCTGTACTCGGCAAAGGCCACCCGACGTACACCTCTCCGGCAAATAGGAATTTGCCGAGAGCCAAAACACGGGCTCTCGGCAAACACTGCCGAGAGCCAAACAGTACCATCAGGCAATATAAAGTGACTCTCACGTCGGTTGGTTCCGTCATCTCTTTGGCGAGAGTGGCTCTCGACGAGAGTGGCTCTCGACAAAGATGCCACAACCAACCGCCAGCGAATGCCACTTTATATATATATATATATATATATATAACAACAAAAATATATATAACACAAACATGCATTTCAAGTGTCAGTGTCTAACAACAAACTCACATAACCATTACCTAAAATAGTTCACAAGAACTTCTTTTGAGATCACAAGGTAGCTCTTTAGTATAAATGCCTACTTACTAAACAATAAAGTGGTCAGCAACACCACAATTATCAAAAACTGAAAGAGAATTATCAAGTTCTTCCATCCACTAAAACCGATAAGCTGTTTCTGGCTAGTACATCAAGTCAACCCATCCACTGAATCCACTAATTCAGATTTTCTCTTATGCTTAAGCACATACTGATTGTAATGATACTCCGCTTCCTCTCTGCTATTGAACGAGTCGTGGGAGCTGCCTTCATAGTAAATCACTTGTCATTGCATTCAAACCATGAATTGTAGACTCCTGGACATCTATCTCTGTACACTGCATACCACTTCATCTACAAAGATAGAGAAAAAAAGGTAGAGAAATAATGCAAGTTTAAAAATAGCACATCATACATAATCCACGTAAGCGTTCATCACTCATACAATCAAAAGCATCGCAAGTGGCAATCTAAGAAGTCCATATCAGCACCTACATGACTATATCACTAAATCAACACCAAACTATCTAGGTGGACTACTCAGAGGTGTAGTCCGTGAAACTGGTGATCGTGGAGTCAGAGCACTTCGGGGCATCCCCCATGGTGGAGGACCAAGTGTCGTCGGGAATGTACGTTTGTGGACTCAATGGCATCGAGTCGTCACACTCCTTACGTGGTGGGGCCTTCTTCTCTTTGGTTGGGGGATTCTTCTTGGCCAGATCCTCAAAATACTTTATTAGGATCAGCTGCGGGTGCTTCTCAATGAGCGCCGCCAAGCGGTCCTCAACGAGCCTGCCACGAAATCGATCCGTGCTAACACCTTTCATCACACAATGAAAAATAGCATAAGAATCAAATATCAAAGATTACTTCTAAGCAAATTAATCATGACGGATACTATCTCACGGATATTTCGACTTTTGGTGATGGTCGAGCTGGGCGAGTCCATCGTGCGTGAAAAATGTATATCACACGACAAACTCGCACAGATCAACCGCCATCGGCAAAAGACGATTTTCTTTCTCCAAGAACAACTCTCATCTCTGTGCAAGGCATAGGCATGACACAAGGACATCACAAATGATTCCCCATGCCGCTACCCGGCATGATTTCATGTGCCACCTTGCTGATCTGCAATTTCCGATGATGAAACCCTAGCAGAGCAATGAATTTCATGTGCCATGCGGTTGCCCCCTCTTAGAGCATGAGAAGTTTCGAGGCCAACGGAGCAACAAGACCAGCACGTCCTGCACAAACCGGACACGTTCCCTCTCGATACCCAGATACTAGCTCGGAGGCGGTATGGTTTACAAGCGGCCTCAGAGGAGGCTTACTCGAAACACGTCCAAACTTTTAAAAAACCACACCCTACAGAGGCCCTATGATGACACCGTGCCAAATCCCGAGCAATCCTACGACATCACAAATAGTCCATCTCCTTAACAAGAGTGTAATGAATACCGAAGCTTACTGCATCTGGACTATCCCACTATTTATATTTAAACAGGTCTTGTTGCTTGTCTGTAGGCGAGGTGGGACTAAACTTTGATGGTGGTCTTATCTTTACCGAGAGCCACTCTCGGCAACTGCTCGTTTACTGAGAGCCACTCTCGGGTAACAACCACTAGAAGATTCATAGTGACTGTATGGACTCTTAGTAATGAGAGAAGACCGAAGCATACTGCGGTTGGACTATTGAACTATTTAAACATGTCATTTTGCTAGTCGGCAGGCGAGGTGGGACTAAATCTTTGCCGGGAGCCACTCTCAGCAAAGAGTTGCAACCGTGACCGTGCCGTTAGTCGCCGCCGAATGTGCCACGTGGCAAAACTTTTCCGTGTGTGGCCGAATGGCCCTCGGCAAATAGTGCCTTTGCCGAGTATAACCTGTTTGCCAAGCAATACTTTCGGCATTGTCGTGTGTTTGCCGACTTATTCCGTTTGCCGAGTGCGACTCTCGGCATTCTTTACTTTGCCGAGTGCCCGTGTTTTGGCTCTCGGTGAAGACGCCGACACCCTGCGCATACGAAATTTTTAATAGTGATAGCCTTTAGCCCCAAACAAGTTGGGGTAGGCTAGAGGTGAAACCCATAAAATCTCACAACCAATTCATGGTTCTGGCACATGAATAGCAAGCTTTCAC